AAGGCATAAAAATGTCAAAAAACATCACAGTATTGTAAGTCATTAAAAAATCATAGTATAGTAAGGCATAAAAATGTCAAAAAAATATTTTAGTATAGTAAGGCATAAAAACGTCAAAAAAAAACATAGTATGGTAAGGCACAAAAAAGTCATAGTATAATAAGGCACAAAAATATCATATTATAATAAGGCATAAAAATTTCAAAAAACATCATAGTATAGTCAGGCATAAAAAGTCAAATAAATATTGTATAGCAAGGCATAAAAAAGTCAAAAAAATATTTCAGTATGGTAAGGCATAAAAAGTAAAAAAAACATCATTGTATAGTAAGGCAAAAAAGTCATAGTATAGTAAGGCATAAAAATTTCAAAAAACATAGTATAGTAAGGCTATGACTTTTTTATGCCTTACTATACTATGACTATTTTATGCCCCACTATACTATGTTGTTTTTTGACGTTTTTATGCCTTACTATACAATGACTGTTTTTTGCCTTACCATACTATGTTGTTTTTTGACATTTTATGCCTTACTATACTATGACTATTTTATGCCCCACTATACTATGTTGTTTTTTGACGTTTTTATGCCTTACTATACAATGACTGTTTTTTGCCTTACCATACTATGTTGTTTTTTGACATTTTATGCCTTACTATACCATGTTGTTTTTTTTAAATTTTTATGCCTTATTATACTATGACATTTAAGTTTTAATCTTTATGAAGCCTGGAAATCATCAAGGAGAAAACAAATTAAACAAACCATCGTTAACTTGTCCCCTACGGTGAGATATGTATATCACAATCCCTTCAGTTAGTTTTTATTTACGTATAGATGGGTATAGTCAAACAAAAATGAAAGTGAGAATCATCTGAAATTCAGTCAGTGAATTAATATATTAAAAACAAAGCAGCTCTTTACATGTTGTTCCCTAGTAAATATTACACACTTTCCATCTGTCCCTCCAACAGGTGCTCTCTTTCTCCTCGACCTTTGACCTCTTCTCCACCCAGAGGGCAGACAGAGGATACCTGAGGTGCAGCCCAGAGGGGCATTGTGATTGGTGGAGCGGAGATCAGCTGGGTTTTCCTTCTGTCTCTCTGAACAATAACATCGTTGTCCTCTCTCTGGAGTACATGGGGCCCCCAGCTCCTGAAGACAAGGGGGACTCCTGTTTGGAAACCTTTGATCACCTTTCTTCACTGATCACACACTCGTTAGACCAGCAGAGCAGCAGATGGGACTTTTAGCTGTGCTGACACTTTTCATACACTGAAGCAGGAAGTAATGTGACAGGTTGAGGAAGGTCTTTGTCAGTGGAGCCAAAAGAAAATAATATCAGAGTAGAGGTTTGGCTAAAACGAACTCTGATTAAAATGTACATAAAATCACAAACACAAACTCAAGATATAACCTCATTAGCACTTACAGAGCTTAATTCATTTTCTGTACTTGTTGATGAGTCTTGCGTATGTTGCTGATCATTTTGTTTCCTTACACATGTATCACAAGTCTCATCTTTAAAACTCTGATGTGCTGGACTCTTTCCAAGTACTACTACTACTTGTCCTGTCTTGAGACGACTTCCCGGTAGCTGTGACATAGCTGAAGTTCATCTCAGTCCTCAGCAGTATAAGGAGATTAGCCCTCTAAGAATGTCTGCTGGAGATTTACTCTCCCTGACCTCACCTCCTCAGCAGATACTGTGCAGCTCTGCCTCAGGACAGGTGAGGTCACTGCTGGTGTAAACCTCGGCTTACTGGCAGTAAAAAAGACCTTTACTGCTTTCCTGTTATCAGAGTAAAGAGCTTTAATCCTGTATTTGATGTTTCCAGCAGCAGAAAATACTGAGATTCATATAGATTGACAAAACAATGCAAACTCAAGCTGCAATTGCTTTTTCCAGAGCTTTTAGCCATACTACATGGTTTTCATTAGCAGAAGGGAGTTTGCCCTGTTGACATTCTAGCTCAGTAACTGCTCTGATTTCGTTCAAAGCACTGTTAGGACTTTGTCTGTGTTGGCTTTAAAAGATCAGCACGAAAACTCTTTGTTGACATTAGAGAACAATCGTAGCTCAAGGGCCACTTTCCCTGAGCTTTTAGCTGTATCACACAGAGCACAATGATGCAGCGTGGGATTCATATACTGTAATATGATCTATTTTCACCATTACAATAAAGCATGTGAATTTGAATTCACAATTATCTCATGTGGAACACTGTTTCATAATTGACCAAGTCACGTAGACATAACATGAGAAAACCACATTTCATATTTGGTTTATCACATGTTGATATATATATATATATATACATTAGAGTATATAGAGTTTATTAGCTATGTCTATTTAAAACTAAGGCAGTCTAATACACATCCTGCAGTAAACCCTTCCTTCATGATGGTTATAATGTTCAGTTTTTGTTATACTGACGGTGACGGGTGTTTTTATTGTTTTGTATGTCATTGAGAGCGTTGAATCAACACTTTTAAAAACTGTTTCAACACAAACTGAACATTAAGACCTTCCTGATGCAGGGTTTATTGCAGGACTGTTGTATTAGAGTGCATTAGTTTTAGGGAGGTGTTCCTAATAAACTGCCAACAGTGTGTTTCACATGTTCTTTTTGTACAGGAATTTTCAGTTGCTGTTTTTGCACTAGGAGAGGAGTGAGAGTCTTGGCAGTCACACTAGGTTGTGACTATTAAACCACTGAGAACAGGTGTTTATTTGTGAACCTGAACAAAACATTTAGTAGCTTCTTCATACAGCAGTTTCCAAATGTTACAGTTGTATAAGATGTAAAGTCTTTAGCACGTTTCCTATTTTTCTAAATAAAAACCCTGTGACACAAAGGGTCCAGACAGTCAAATGACTGAGTTACTTACTGAGTCATTAGGAAACTGTGTTAGAGGAAGTGAACGAATCTCACTGACACTGTAGCTGAGTGAAACTGAAGGCGTAGCATCACGTCTGAAGGAAGTTTGTCTCATTGTGACAACAGCACAAAGACTGAGGCTCAAAATGAACCTGTGTCCAACTAAAGAGAGAGACTACAACAGCAAATCATCAAAAAAAGATGCAGCTCTGCATAGATTAAAACAACACACTTAAGAAACCAATTTTTTATTAATCCAAAAGAGAGCATTGTCATACATTATCAAGGTAGGAATTAAATAAGGAACCAAACTGATGAAACAAAGCAGGCAGTGTACTGGACCATCGCAGCTTGCATAAGAACACTTTTGCCTCATCTCCATTAGCTGAGTTGAGCTCAGCTGGGTCCAGTTGTGGTTGAGTCAGGTACAGACTGGGACCAGTTAAGCTCAACCAGCTGACAGTGGAGACTATGAACCCGACCGACCACAACAAGGCTGAGCTCAGGCCGGTGGAGACGAGACGAGACATTCGACAAAACCACATGAAAAGACTGAGAAGAGTCAGATTTCACGCGCAAAAAAAAACATCATATCACAACTGGCAGCTCCAAAAATAGAACTATCTTCCTTATTACAATGGTAATGAATATTATAAAGAGCTTTTATTTCTCCAAAACAGAATTAAATCAAAGCTGATATGTGTAAACACTATATACATCTTATTTCTGCTAAAAGTAAAATATGAGGCTCCACTTTACATTATGATCACTTTAAGTATATTACTGTCATATGTTTGGCTTATTCACACGGCAGTAAAATACATTTTAAATTCCCAAATAAATTGAGAGTGATAGGAAGAGTGCACCAGAAAGAAATTAAATTAAATTAAAAAAGAATCGATTTCTACATGTTTGCAATGATTTTAAACCCTAATAAATTCTATCTTCTATTAGTGGAATATATTTGTTTTTATAGTTCAGTTTAAAATGCTCAGCTTGATGCACAAAACTGTTGCTGTGGAGAATCTCCCAGTTTAACCTTGTACAGGCGGAAGGAACCATGAGGTGCTACATAAAGTACCACTGTTAAGTGATTTGAACAGGTTTACATGAGGTTCTCTGGCACAGCTCAAGTATTTGTCGCGGCTGCAGGAACTTTACTCTGATTAAAGCACTCTGATATATAATGTTAGGAATAACATATTTTGTTTACACTCAATTACAAATGTGGGTGACAGATGAAAGCTTGATGATATATAACTGGCCTGTTATATATTTATCTTTATAGTTTTCATTGCAATAAAAGAAAAAATGTAAATCATAGCAGATAACGTCAGTAAAACACACATGCAAAAAAAAGGCATTCTGTTGTGGAAATATTGCTTCTATTTTTCTAAGATGTAAACATTAGAACATTACTTGAGAGTCGAATGAGAAACGTGACCTGTCGTATTTAAGACAATACGGTCCATCAGTGCAAACATTCTCCAGACCAAAAGTAATGAAAAATTAAATACGATTTCTCCAACAAAATCACACTCGTAACGTCTTAAAGGAAGTTATGCAATGTTAGTCCTGGAGGACAGTGATAACCCCTTTCTAACAATTATATGCATTGTTATTAAATGATGAATTTCAGATAATGATTTGTCACCTATATATATATATATATGTGTATATGTGTGGATATATATATGTGTAAAACTGATTTGAAAAATTTACTTTAAGCAAGAAGGAAATTAAGATTCTCTTCAGCATCTTTCAGTGTTTTTCAGGATTTTAGGAGCCAACTGGAAATTTATATAAATTCTTACTTTGAAGTCTGAATGAAATCGGTCGGAGCGGCTGGTGGAAGCAGCAGCTTTAGTGTGTGCCGTCACAATTTACCAACATTTGACCGGCAGCCTCTGTTAATGTCGTACGCTGACTGGTCCTTTTAATGAAAGGTCTCTTAGCTGCTGAAGGCGCCTGTGTGGGCTGCAGATGACTTTATCTGTTGGCTGCATAAACGAAAAGCTCCGCTTAAAGCTGCTCTTTAAAAGTCACTGTTCTGTTGTAACGCCATCAGATGGCGTCGGAAAGTAAAAAGATGCTTCGTTTTAAAAATGCAAACTAGTCCCACTGAGGTATAAACTTTAATCTTCATTTGAACTGAGCGGTTAATGGAACAAGCAGCAATGCATAAACTCTAAAATGAACAGTGTGCGACTGCTTGGTGCAGTGTTCCCAACCTTTTTGGCTCGTGACCCTCTGAAACAAACCCCTCATCACCGGTTGTGTGTGAACCTGTTGTGACCAATTCTGCCTTAAAAGGTCAGTTTTTAGAGACACAAACAGGTAAAATTATCCAGTGAGTCAGAAGAAAAATGGTGAACAGTAGAGGAAAGTCTAAATAAACATAATTCTGTGTATCAGAAATATGTTTATCTTATGACCCATTGTGAAGGACCTGACCCTCAGGTTGGGAATCACTGGCTTGAGATTCCTATTGGAGGAACCTCTTAGAGGCTCTTTCCTCATTTTAAATTGGGTTGACGTTAGATGGACAACCAATTATTGGTTATTTTAAATAAGAACTCTACTTGTATTAATCTTTTTTGAGGAAAAAGGAAACACTCGATGCAGTTTAAGAACCACTCAGGTGTTTCCTTTTTTTACATAAGAGTCTGGAAGTTTGTCTGTTTTCCGGCTGCTGAGCGAACTGAGAAACTTCTCTCCTTCTGGTCCCAGCGCTGCTCATACAGGAAGTGCTTGTGTGCTCACACATACGCTGCATCACACACTCTCACTCTAAATATTGAACCATGCTAACGCCTCCACACACACACACACACACACACACACACACAGACACACACAGACACATGCCAGTTCATCCTGACGACTGGGCTGCCACACACTCACACCATCTCTCTCCTGCTGTAAACTCTGAAACTGAAGTTTTCTTTGTCACACTTCTCGAGTTCAGGCTTCAACAGCAGCAGGATCGTCTCACACTGTGTCCATGTTCACGCTAACTTACTGTATGTTCACTGACTTTTAATAAATACTCAGCTTTCTGCTGCTGTTGGCCAGGAGAGCCGAGCCGGGAGGCTTCTGCTCTCCGTCTTTCCTGAGTGGTTAATCGCTACATCAGCGGCCGCTGCTGGTCAGTCAATGCGGTTACCACAGATTGTGAAACGGTCGATCTCCAGCAGGTCTTTTTTGGGAGTCCTGTGCTTCGGTTCAGAGGCGGCCTGGGCCTCCCCCTCCTCTTCTTTGGAGAGTGAGGCTGCAGGCTGTTCGGGTTCAGGCGGAGGAGTTGGAGGACGGCTTGCTGGTGCAGCAGGAGAGGCATCAGTGGGCGGGGGGGGGAACAAGTCAGTCCTGGGAGTTGGCTGGGTGGTCACAGAGGAAGAGGAAGAGGAGGAGGAGGAGGATGGTGGGCTGCAGGGTGTGACTGGGACCTGCTCCGCTTTGGATTCACCTGTAAAGAGGAGTGGGGACAAATTAAATGACAACATATGGATGAGTTGATTTCTGGTTGCTCTAAATGTGGCGCCTTTGAATCCATCTTCAATCAATTGATTGATTAGATGAGTTTGTAATGAGATGAGATGTAATTTGCAGTTATAACTTACAAATAAAAAGTGAAGACATCTGTCTTCATACACTTTGTGGGTTTCATTTTACTGTCTGCTTCATGAGGAGGATGTAACTCAGTATTCCCCCACTGCCTGTATTAGATCTGTATTCAGAAGACCACAAACTGATAGTGACTCTGACGTATACGAGAGTTTTCTTTTAGATAATTTAGAGCAAGAAGAGAAAGGAGAGCATGGAAGAAGAAGATGAGCTGTCTCTGAGCAGCAATTTCCAGCCTGTAGCCGACGGACTGAAGATGCTCTGGGTTAAGTGACAGGGAGCGACAACCTACACCCACCTGACTGCTCGCTTTCAAAGCAGCGCAGAGGGAAACCAATGAAGTGTAGCCAGAGAAGGACGCTGACACTCAGCATACTGAAGTGCAGCTGGTTTCTATCATTATGTTAAGAGAAAACACTGCAAAGCCTTTTAACTTTGAGCACACAGAGTGTATTACATTAGGAAAATCAACCAAACAGAATAATTCATCATATCAGAGAGAATTGAGCGAAGCGGCGTTGGATATTAACGAGCCCGTCCACAGAGACAACCGCCCTGCCCGCGGCTATCTGGCTACAACAAACTTCCAATTCTTACTGCAGACAGAGCTGAACCGACACTTTACAGTACAGAGCTGCGGCAGCACATCAAACATATAGAGCGCGTGTACATATGTACGTGTGTTCGAGTAAAGGCATTAAAAAGCATTTTTCTATTACGATGGTGGCCATGAAAACAGACATGGAATATCAGAAAATGTGATGTTTTGGTGTGATACAGTATTCTGCCTGAATAATTCAGTGTTGAATCAGCCAACATTTTCTGATACGGTAAAGGTGTTGATGCGGCACACACCTGTCTCACTTTCTCTATGATTTATTTATTCGGCTTTAGTTTATTTGAGATGCTAAAAATGAATTGAATAATGTCAGCAACATGTTTTTTTTATTAGACTACATGGGTTCTGGATTAACACGAGCAAATTTCCTGTTATTTCTTATTTGTTCTACAGTAACTTTTTGATTGACAACCACTGGCTCACAATGGAAAATTATAGAAAATTCTGTCTTGATGACGTCTTGGTTATTTTCCACCATGACAAACTACAAAAGATGAAACCGTCGTCATCCCTCCACTTTTGATTCTAGTCTACCTTTGTATGTGCGGGTTAACAAGCTTGTGCTTCACGCTTTTTTCCGTCCTCACGCCATGATTACTCTAAGTCTTCATACTCAGGTATTTACCCTCTTTCCACTGGCTACCATTAAAAATGACAATCCAATATAAAACTGTAGTTATTACCCATCAGGCTCGACGTGGTGAAACCTGTGAGTAGAGCTCAACTTTCACGATCACATCATCCATCTCAAGACTTATTTATATTCCCTCACTTTTCTTAGCTGATGTTTTTTTGTAATATAATTTTCTTGCTTTTATTGTATCTCTTTGATTTGTTGAGTTCTATGTCTTTTGTTTGTAAAGCACTTTGGGGTTGGTCGGATTTCTACATTATATTTCCATTGAAATTGCTCTAATTAATATTTTTATATTAACAGTGGATTAAAGTATTTGCATAATGTGAAAGTGGTTGATGGTAGCTGCAAACTCATAGAGAATTATCACCCGACTGCAGCTCCTCTCAGCACCACAGAGAATTACAGCACCTCTCAGCTCATTGTTTTGGTTTTATGATGTGCAACTTTACTGCTCCGCTTTAGTTTCAGCGCTCCTTTAAACCTCTCCTCCAGCTGTTTTCACTGAAAAAAAGCTCTGATAAAGTGACTAAATGCTGCCCAGCACCAAACAGCAGACAGAACGTTAGTGACAAGCTGGCGACCACGAGGGAGCGCCCGGCAACAGGTACGTTTCTCAGGAGTCAGTGGACAAATAAATTCTGAAGTTTCTTCAGTCTGCTGGAGTCAGTAAGCAACTGTTCACTGACACGTTCACCATATCAATTTAATAACGTGACAACACATTTTTTTTGTTGCTTCCTCTAATATTTAACAATATGTTTTTTTTCCTACTTTCAATGTATTCTATTTTTTTGGGATATTTTCTATATTCACAGTCCCGCCTCCTGTCTTGTGTTTTAGTGTGTAAATGTTTAAATAAACGTGACGTATAGAGTGTTTACGGTACAAACGATTTAAAATAGTGTGTAAATGTTTAAATAAACGTGACGTATAGAGTGTTTACGGTACAAACGATTTAAAAGGACTAATATTTGAGTAACACACTGAATACACATACATACATACACACATACATACATACATACACACAAACACACAAACATACACACATACATACACACATACACACATACATACACACATACATACATACACACACACATACATACACACACACACATACATACATACATATACAAAAAAATGAGCTCCCCGCTTCTTCTCTGGAAGATATGTGAGCCTTAATAAACGTTAACCACCATATGGCTTGAAATGGCTGATTCCAAACTGCTCATTACCCATTTCTGCCCTCTGGGCAAAAGCATGCAGTATAGACAGATGGCATATCTTAGTTTTATGTGAATCCAGACCATTGTAAAGACAAAGACATGCAGATGAACATAATTGTGCAGTGGATCCACTGGAGCAGCAGGTGAAGCCCGAGGCGCAGACCAAAGTAGTTTAATGTTAGAAAAGTGAGCATGGTATCTGAGGTCGCTGGTTCAAATCCCAGCAGCTGAATGTGTAGGAAGCACAAGAAGAGACGCACATTAATTTTTACCTCCACCTCAAAGTAGTTATTATTATACTCTATATGTTGCAGCACGACACCTTAAGCTCTCTGAGAAACCAGATTCATTTGTAACACAAGCGGCGGCAGGAGCTTTGATGTTTGATATGACATGATGCACCATCAGGATCTTTGTCATATTAAAGCTCCTGGCTCAGCGCAGCAGGCGGATCTGTGGCACACACGGGAGGAAAAGATCTGCAGGGATTTTGGCTGTGGATGACAGGGAAATACTGCCACCTCCAAATCTGTGTGTCTGATTGTGTGTGTCTGTGACTCGAGGTACAAGGCCTGTTTAACAGTTTGTCAAGATATTTACATGAATCTTAATGAGGAAATTCATATGTAAATATTTGAAAGTAGGAAATAAGGGATTTTTTTTTGTTCTCTTTTTTTGTTTTTATTCATCGTAAGTTTAAGGCTGTAACTAATAAAGCTGTCTATAAGAGGGTAAATCAATACAATGACAGATGTAGCTGCTTGTGTTGGTGCTCATTTGGGTGCATGTTTTTGAGACGTGTCCTCAGGTAGCTGGTGCTGGGACGGGATGCTAGGCTAACTGTAGCGAGAGAGTGAGCGCTCGGAGGCCTGCTGGGTTGTGAACTCTCTGCCATCGTTAACACACCGGTTGTTGTTGAATTATTTCAGCTCGACCTACGTTTCATTTTCAATCAGTGAAAGTGACACTGCGTGACTTCTGCAGTGTAATCAGTGCAGCGTTAGCAGCAACTAACAAATGTTTTCATTATCAATTAATCTGCTGATCATTTTTAAGACTGATTAATTGATTGTTTAGTTTATAAATTAAAACTTTATGCTCTGGTAGCATACTGTTTGTCAACTGGCTAATTGATTAATTAATTAATCATTTTAGGTGTAACATCTACAAAACAAACAACTTCATAGACTCTATTTCTGAGTGCTGTGGAGACAGAACCTGCTAACAAAACAGAGACTGATCCTATGATTAAAGAATGTATTAAAATAACAATTATTGCTGGTACAATTTTGTTGGGACGATACATTTAAAGCCGCGACAAATTAAACTCATTGGTCTGATGGAAATGCTGCAATCAAAGGTCAAAATCTCAAAATTTAAAATGAAATATCTGTGATGTCACCATAATTCAATGTCACATTATTGACACAATTGTCAATTATAAGAACTACAAGATGATTATTCAAGAAAATATTTGGCCATTAGCTGCCGCCCTACCCACAAGACTAACATTATACTGTGTTTCAAGCATTACGCAAAGAATAAGCATTAGCTCAAAAATTAGCTTTGGTGAGTAGTTACTTAGTAGTTGAGACAATGTGAATTTATTTTCACCTATAGCTGCTTTGGTTGAATCAAATCATCATCATCTGATATTTAGAGAGACTTCTCTACAACCAGAAGGTCACAGGTTTGATTTCTGCTCCACCAGACACAGGATGTTTGAGCTGCCTGAAGCTGGACACTGAGCTTCTACCTGCTGACAAATCTGTCTGGATGCAAGTGTCAGCTAAATGCCTGAAATGTAAATTAAAGTGTCAGCTAAACGCCTGAAAATGTTAATATAAACATGATTCTTCTCTTAGGCAGGGTGAGGTAAGCCGAATGTTGCTTTAGAGACCACAGTGCATGCAGTGGACAAACACTGGATTTAGAAAGCAGCATCCAAATAGTATGTAAATCATTACTAGCAACCTTATTGTTAGATATAAAAAACAACAGTGCTTTGTTTCCTTTGTGCATGTGTTGTTGAAGCTCGCTGTAAGACAATACTGTTTCATTAAATACAGTACGTCGTAGTGCAGAGAGACAAGAAAAATCAGTAAGTGAGTAGGAGGCCGAGCTCAACATGCAACATCATTTATGAGCAAGATTAAATCCCAGGACGTCTCATTTACTAGATATCTGTTCCTGAGAAGCAGAAGGAGGCTGTTTTAGCTTGTGAACACTTTTCATATCTCCAAAATAAGCTTTAACCCAAATGTTACATATGTGAAATATTATACTGTATTATAATATACCTGTGTGCAATTCAAAATGAATGAATAGCTGTCTGGACCGGTAGAGCAGCAAGACGTATCAAAAGCCATGCCTATCATTAGACTACTGACTAGAACACAGACGGAGGTATTAACAGAATCCCATGACGAATCTACATATATTTATATAGAGGCCTGAAATGTTAACTTAAATATTCCAGGACTTACTCTGGTTCTGCCTGATTGTAGGAACCCTGATTGTTCCCCACAGTGTAATCAGTGAGAGGGACAGAGGGTTATCAAGCTGAGATGCTTAAATAATTATGTAAAGTGATTGGGAACACTCCCCTCCGATAAGTGGGTCGACCTGTGTGCTCCTCTTTCCCAAAAACCTGACAGGATGATATTTTGCTCTCATTATAGTGATGAACAGATTTTAAATACGGTGACATACTGTACGTGTCCATGTTAACTCAAACCTGTAATAACTGATTTTTTTTGGCCACTTGGGGGCAGCAGAAACGAGCTGTAAACACAATGTTGACTTATTATCTGAACTTATCGGTAAACAGTTGCTTATTTATTTGCACATCCAGTGGTTACGGAGCAACATTATCATTCATTTTGAGTCGTGTTTCTGTCCACATGACAAATATTAATCCAATGTTCACTCTTTTTTTTTTTTTTTTAGCTCTGTTTTTGGTCATCACCAGCTCCTGAGGGAAATCTTCACCAGCTGCGTCGGCTGGGTGTTTGGCGCTGAGCAGATCACGCACAGTGAGTCTGTAGGAGTTGAGGGCTGAGAGGAGCTGCAGATTCAGCTGGTGATTCTCTGTAGGTTCATGAAGATGAGCAACCTCTTTCACGTTGTTGTTCAATGCCGCTTTAAGTATTGTTTAATTTGACAGCATGACACGGGTGTGTGATCGCTCCTTATGATTTTAATTCTATTTAGAGTTTAAAAAAAGCACTACATTTTTATTTCAGCATCAAAGCCAGCCAAAGCATAGTGTGATCAAAACAAGAGAACTACTGTTTGAAACTAGTTAAAATGCAGTGGCTCTATAAATACACTTTAAGGGACTTTAATCTTTGAATGGTTCTTATACTGATAACTGTTTCGTATTTTGTTGGCAAGCCCTTCTACATACATGCGCCACACCATTATCTCAGGGTGTCTTTTATATTTTTATAGATTTATAGAAGCAGAATCTGTGTAAAGACACAAAGAACTTAAAGAAAGAACTGATACTAAAGGTGTGTGTGGTTTACCTGAAGGAGTGGGACATCTTGGCTGGTCAGCTTTGCTGGGGCTCTTTGCAGAGGAGGAGGATGGAGTGGTCGAGGGCCTCTCGAACAGTTTGTCCTCCATGTTGGCCCTCTTAACGTAAACACACGACTTCCCCAGGAGCACAATACTGTTCAACACTTTGAGTGTAACCAGCCTACAGAGGGAGAGGGCTGCGGTTAGCAGTTGCATTTCTGGCCACAAGAATCAAAAACTCTCTCCTCTTCCAAAACAACTACCGCGGCGTTGCAGCAGGCGACAGTTGAAACTATTTTGACTGGAAAATAAGAAATTATGACTTTGACAAAGCATCTACTTTAAGCTTTAATTTGCACAATCAATAATCAGAATATTTGCAAACATGCGTTGATTAACTATAATAATAAAAATAATACATTTTATTTACAGAGCACTCAGGCACTTAATATTGTGGAGATGTTGACACTCAAAATAATCTGTAATAATTTAACATTCTTGATTATTATGCTGCACTGTTGACTTTCAATAATTTGGTTGATCTATTCAGCACTGAGCTGTAAAGTTTGGTTCATTTGGATCAAAACAAATACTTATAATGAGGATTATCACTTAGTCATAAGTGAAGAGCTGTTATCACAGTGCTGAGATGTAGCAGAGTTTTCACAGTGCTGTCTTGAGCTGGGACACAGCTATAATGAATCTCCTCTACCATCTGGTTTCAGTCGCCTCCGTTCACATCCCACCACTGACACCAGGATGTTGATGTGCACCATCCTTCTGTGTTTCTGGGCTTCGCTATAAGGCCCAAACTCTGACACTGTGATGAGAGAAAGACGGACACATTTGGGTCTGTGGACCACCGCTCGCTGTGACAGGGTGTTTCGGACTGAGAGCGTGTCAGCGCGGCTGAGTCTTCGCCAAGGCACAGCGCTCTGGTCAAGCCAGAGCTATTTTTAAATCAGGGGGTGGGGAGGGCCAGAGATGGCACTAGAGATGACAACATTGTATTCTTCACCCTGAGGGAAACTCTTTAATGGTACGAGCCCGATGGGATCCGGCAAATGAGAATGAGCGAGGGTATCAGCAGCTCAGCTCAGGGAGAATGTGAGGCCACAGTGTTAATGCTTATGTAACTGTGTATGTCTCTGAATCTGAATGTGTGTTTATGACAGCGCCTGCATGTGTTAGTGTGCAAGCATGTCAGTACAGTGGACATGTTTGTGTGAGAGTCTCTGTGCATATTTGACACACTATAATTGTAAATAAAAAACTAAACATTTAAATATTCAATTATCAATGACTAAATGAAGACAATGTTACGATTGAATCATATGGAAATATAGATTTTGACCTGCATCTCAATGGTTTAAGCCTGCAGTTCAATAAGGTAAGGGAGTGAATAACTGCATATATCTTATTAATGTGCATGAAAACCTTAGACAACCAAATTCAGTTTTAGCCTTTAAACCTTCTCTTGAGCTTATTTTATACAGTCTGATTATAATATATGCAGCAAATGTAAGAAGAAGAAAATGTCATGTTCAGTACAACAAGCACAGTAATACGAGGCTTAAAAGTTCCCTCAGTTCTGGATGCTGGGCAGGGCAATCTACAAATATATCCTGCTGTAATATTAGTAATACAGAACTAAAGACTTACCCGAGATAAAAGAGGAACACACAAGTGTACGACAGTGCTCCCTGCACCTTCACCGAACTCATCACCACTCGGATAAGCTGTTAAAACATTACAAAGCAGAACAAATTGAAATTTTAACTTAGTGAATCAGATGAAAAAAATCTAATTTGAATGATAGTGAGAACCATGAAGCAGCTATTTTCAGCTAGTGGAATTAAAGTTTGAAGTTTGGAGGAAGTTCTGGTTAATGCTTGTGTGCCAATGACTAACTCCTGTGGTATTTAGTTTCTGAATAGCGACAGACTGCAGGCTTTCTTACCAGAACAGCCAAAGGCAGAGGGATGAAGCCCATCCTCCTGGCCACTGAGTCACTGTAGTCAGTACAAGCCTACACAGTGACAGACGAGCACAGATTATAGCACTCAACAAAACCGCATTGATTAGCTGCGTAGGCTCAGTGCTGTTTATGCAAGTATAACGACGGTGATATGAAAAACAGACACTTGCTTACATTTTTCTGTCGACTGCTGACGAGATCGAAGGCCAGACTGGCTCTGTATTCACTGTACACCTGCAGGGGAGGCAAGATTAATAATGGAGTATGAGAAAAGTAGGAAAGCAACGGACCACGTACAGTATTATACATGTGCTATATGTGACAAGGTGATAATGGATGACTGTTTGAGAAATAATGAACATCAGGTTCGGTCCTTACATCTGCAGTGATGTCGTTGAACTTCGTGATGAAAGCGTGTTTAATAATGTCAACGGCAACTTCAGAGGTGACGACCATAAACACATCAGGGAACAACACCCACAGATGGTCTGAAGAAAGACAAACAAGAAGAAGAAAGACAAACTGTAATTTATGCTGAGTAAGAGAGAGTGCATATACTCCATCCCTCGATACTGTGTCTACATTCTGCCCACAAAATACAAGGCTCCAGACACAAGGAGCTGTAGTTATTAAGGTGCTGTGTCCATTGGTACTGAGATTTTCTGAGCCAGTATTTGATCTGGTGACACTTACAGTTACAGTCTTAGCTAATACTATAAAGAAACAAGAGTCAGGTGTTCATGGTTTTATTTGCCACCTGGAGGAAGTGGAAAAAGCTGAAACACAACACGGACATATTTCCACCTAACAAATGCATCTCGTGGCTGTTGAGAGCGGTGAGACTGAGCCACTGCAGCAGCATGTGCTTATTGTGCTCATGTGGTAGGGTTTTGTTTTTCTGTTGCTTTTGTTTTTGTGATGGGTCCGGTCCTTCTGTTTTTCATGGATTTATTTCTGTCAGTTTAGTTTTGGTGCTTGGTTTAGGTGAGAGGAAGGACAGCAGATCCTATGACCCTCTGTGGGTTGGTCTGAGTGGCTTCCCTTCTGTTTGTTACTGTTGTCTGGCCCATCAGCCTTTTGTGCTTTTAGTCTGCTGTTGATTATGGTAATTTTCTTCAATTGTTTGTCTATTAATAAACAGAGGGTTTAGTTTTGCTGCAGCAAACTGACTCCTGTGATTATGTTGGACGGCTGTTTTGTTGAGGAACCTCGTTGGGGTCATAACACACGATGAAAAACCAAAACAATGTCACGCAAGTCCTGTGACCCAACATACCAACATATTTAGAAGTGCAGCTATAATAAAATTATAAAAATATCATTATAATAATGTATCAGATGACAAAATGTGACAATGTGGAAGAGGTCGCTCATGGTGATGAAACAGAGAATTATCACCCGAATCAGTTCCCTTCGGCTTCATGCTTTACTGAGCTTTATAGTGAGTTTCAGATCATTGTTTAGCTCTTCAGTCTGCAACACTAGCGAACTGGTTCACTCTCGCTTCTCTCATAGTGTTATTTTCAGCTGGAGCAGACAGCTGTTTGCTCTAAAAAATCCACTGTGCACTACCTGCTCACCATCAAACAGCAGACAGAAAATAGTTAGCGACTAGCTGGTGAACAGAGTAGAACATTTACAGCCACATATTTCCCTCGGGAGTTGGTATAGAACAAAAACAAAGCTAAAAGGAGAGTGAATATTAGACTTACATTCCTCAAGGGGACGGGAAGACAACTCTGTATGAACAATAACGCTGCTCCACAACTGCAAAAGCAACTGTTTGCTAACATGTTTGCTATCTCAGCTTAAAAGTTTGCAGATAAAGCAAAGACAGTGCACCTGACCACAAACTGGAGCGCTGCACTAAAGAGTCTGAATCCTTTAGTAAATGAAGGATTTTAGTTTTTTGACTTTTACTAAATTTACAAATGTTTTCACTTTGTCATTATCGGTTATTGAGTGTAGAGTGATGCTGATTGAAAATGGTGATTTTATCCATTTAAAATACCATATGTTTCTTTGGAACCAGTACAGTCAGTTTACTTAGAGATTATAACTAATATTTTACAAAATGCCGCCATACTTGCACAAATGTCTTAAATAATGAATGAGCAAAACAGCTTTGGCTCCTATTTCATCCATTTCAACTATTAGAAGTGTTTAGTAGGTAATTAGCTGAGAGCAGGTGCTTCTGTTTCTGCTGTATAATGCAAACAAATAGGTGCAGGCACCATGAAAGCAGCATGGAAGATAAGTAAATTACTGGAGACTTGTGATTTGTATACCTCTTTAGCAACAGAAGGCTGTAGCTCTGCTGGTATTAGTACATCAGTGTTATGATTTCAGCTGACAGGCCACGTCTGTCATCTACTGTGTCTCTGGCTTTGAGACTGTCAGGAGGAGCTGACTGTTTTCAGAAAGCTGTCACACAGAAACACTCGGCTCTCTTCCCCCGCTCTGCTCTGTCTCATTCACTGATGTTTGCGGGGGGTTAAACACTCCAAGGTGTTGCAGTGGGTCATCTGTAACAGCACGGAAGGAGCTGCTCAGCATACTGAATTTTTTTTACCCACGACAAGCACCGACCCTTGTGTTGGGATTTCAAACTATAGTGAACGCACCTGGCGTAGCCTGATATCTGTTAACTGTCTATGAAATAAGTCTATGAAACCGTAGTTTGAGACCAATAATTACCTGCGTTCCACGAGAACTGCTCCATATTCCTGAGACAGACGATGAGCAGGAGAACGTAGCTGGTGAACCGCTCTTTGATATCTGCAGGATAAAATAATCAAATTTGCAATTACAGTTCCTCAACTCTGGAACAACCTGGAAGAAAATGTGATTAGTAAAGACTCCATCTTCATTCTAGCTGCAACAGAGCCGCATTTACCCACACTTCCTGTCCTAATCAGGGTTTCTGCAGGGTGCGCCAAGTTAACTTTAAGACTTTTAAAGATCTTCTTAATACCCCACAGACTGAAATTTAATACATGTTTTACAGTCAGACTGGCAGAAGTATTAAAGTATGATGGAAAACCAACAAGAACGGCTTGGAATTATTCATTATTATACCATATTTTTCAGGAGTTTAACGATAACTACTGATGATATAATTAATCAAATTGATGCAACCTGGACCAAAATAAGTGGCAGAAAATTGATGAATAGATTAATCATTTAAATATGTTCATCTAAGATCAGTTATATTTTTTTCATTTTCAGACTTTTCCAGACATGCAGATGTCCCTTTTTCCTCTATTTATGTTTCTGTTCTTAACATTCTCATTTCATTTTCTTTAGAAGGTTTCTATTCTTTTAATTTGCATTTTAATGTTTTCATACTGTTTTTTTTGCTGTTCTTTTTTTTTTTTAATGTTTTTTATGCATTATGTAGAACACACATTACCCTCATGTATGAAATGTGCAATGCAAATAAACTTGGTTTGTTAATGCTGTGTATACTGCATGTGTGTTAAAACGGGTGATCCTAAAAAGGTTAATTTGTCATCAGTCAGTTTTATTGTGCAGCACTTTACTAAAAAATTATGCAATGAGATAAGTGAAAGAAGTTACAGTCGCTTTAATCTGCGTCAGTATTACAGACTGTAAACATCCATCTAGACACAGCTGTAAATGTTTACAATACCATTATCTGCACTGATAATACCATGCTAGTTAGGACTAAGCTCAGCTCCACAAACAGGCAACAAGATGTGAGTGAAAAGTGAGAGGGAAATCTTATTCTTCTGCTGTCATTAGAATACAGTTAGAGTGACTGAAAAAAAACAACAACAACAAAAAAAAAAACAAGCTGCCTCTGGGGATGTAAGAGGAAATGCACACATAATTAATCCTATAGCAAAGTCTGTACTCTTCTTTCAAAGCCAAATGGATGGATTCATAAAAGGTTTCTGTGTAAGGATGAGGAATTAAGCCTTAAATAATTCCCTGTTTTGAGTTTCTATTGTAGTTTGATGCTAAACATCTCATCCAGAATCAAGGACTGTCAGTCACACATCTATTCCATCCATCCACATAAGAAAAAAAACAAAACAGGAAAAATGTTTTCAATTTAAAGTATGTCTTTGACTATCTTACCACTGTTGGACATTTGGAATAAGTTGTTCTTCTCAAATTTCTTGAACACGCTTCCTTTAATCTCCACAAACTGTTTGAGAGGGAGCAGAAACGCAAAGGAAGAAATGCAGTTAGCAGGATTTATGATACAGACAATACGACCTATAATGTTGCAGCTGCATTTCATCATTAACATGACAAGTTTCATCTCGACAACGGAGCGAAGCTGCTTAAACTACCACATCAAGCCGCTTGTTGTGTACTATAATATCTTAGGTGTGCGCTGTATCTGTATACATTTGTGTATGTGTACTGACGTTGTTGGACATCATGATGGTGAGCAGGGACTTGTTGTGGGAGTTGAAGGCGACGTTGAGGGTGGAGGCTTGGACCATGATGAGGATGGCATGTAGGACTGAGAGACAGCCACTCAGGAAAACAACTAATTTATAAAGCAGTGAATACCTGCTATAAGCAATGCAACTTAACAGTTAAACAGACAAGCTCCTGACCAAAACAACACTTTGATGCCTAAAAATGTCTCCTGTGACATCAAGAGTTTTGTTCTTGTGAAATATTCTTGAACAAGAAAAAAACTTTTAATTGTCCTAATTGTAGGGATGACAGACAAGTTTAAGAAACTACAGATAAACAGAAGTTACAGTGCACTGACCTTGACTAATGGGCTGTTTACAACTGTAGTTCATCATCCTTGCTCCAGACCAGCAAAAATTTATCACTTTTTGCCTTTTGTAGTTCCTGTGTTTCTGTCTAGCCAGAAGAAAATAAAAACAAAACTAATTCTAGTGCCTGTTAACCAAGTTATGCTTCACTTAAAAGGCTTTATTTATCTTCTCCAGTGGTCATAAAGAGAGTTAAATATGAGCATTACATGATGCTATAACTGTACATTCACTGTTAAAAATCAATTTTGGAAAGAGATGAAGACTCAAATCCCTGAAATATTTTGCTACTGATTTGAACCAGAAGGATACAGACATAAAAGACGGCCATGAAGAAGTGAGGGATGACTCCTATACTGTCTCTTTTCCGTTCTTTGGGTTCTGTGGCCGTCCAGTACAGAGCATCCAGGATGTCTTGACCAAAGGAGGAGAAGAGGCGGTCTGCCACCTGGCAAAGGAAGTGCAGATAAGGTCATCATAAGATAATAATACTATGTATTTCAATCCTCATCTTACCTACATACTCTGATAATGTTCTCTGGTAGTTGGTTTTTGTCATCACTTTGTTTCCAAAACAAAATCTATATTAATTGTGCCATCCCGAGATTATACCCGAGGTCACTAACAGGCGGACCGTTCTGTCTGGACCAAGACCTATAAACTATGAAAACTTTGACGGAGTGTCGTGTCTATTTCAACCAGCGCAGCCTTTCCTGCCTTTACGGCTCTGGTCATGTGATCAGCCAATCATTGCAACTTGAGTCATAAGAGTGAGACACAGGGGAGAGACTAGATGGGTGAAGTTAGTGAGGAAAAGGAGGTGTTAAAGCTGTTCAACTGTTAAGATGTGTTGAGATTGTTTTTTTATAAGAATGGTTGGTTAAGATGTGATAAAAATAACAAAAAAAAGAAGAAAAAAAGGAAACTCAAGAAACACATTTTATTTAATTTTTCTGAAATATAACTAGGATTGTAACCTTTAATTTGCAATTCAGGCATTTATGTTCCATCTCATCACCTGCCAATTTCACCTATTTCCAGTTGACAAAGCGGAAACACTGAATCGCTTCAGCTGCAGCCTAATTCATCGGCTGTTTTCCATTTTGCAGCCTTAATAATAATAATGATAATAATAATAATACTACAGCCCCTTAGGTGAGCAATATGTAACTGAGCGCGAGTGATTCAACCCGTGCAAATTGTTGTCACAGAACCCTGGAGCAAGGCACCAAACCAACTGCTTGCTCTCTATACATAAGTCATCAAACCAACAGAAACAAATTCACATTGATGTATTTCTGTATTTGGACCATTTGGGTTAAATACATGCTGAACCAGAGGAAAGATTTATAAACCAACACAGGTAAAAAAAATCAGAAACTGTGTACACAGACTGAAGGTGGAAAACTAGAAACGTACATACACAGAATCCTAAAAATGTACTGTACATCTGTAAACTTAGTCTGCCTGAGTCTTAACGTCCTCTCACAGTGCAGGGGCAGCCGCTGTATTATAACACATAGCCATTAAGCATTTAGTATTCAAAGAACAGACATCTGCAGGTTTCTTGTTATTGTGTAAATACCTGAAGCGATGCTGTATACATGTCAGATATTAGTGTGTAAACTGCGCGGTACCTCCAACATGTTGTAGATGATGTAGAGTTTGATGACAGACTGTCCTCTGATCAGGTGGTACATCATGGAGTAATCGACGTAATGCATCATGGAGAAGCACAGCACCAGGATCAGTCCCTTCAGCACGTCACACACCTGCGCTGGCTGCAGCAGGCGCGACCCGCTGACAACGCACACACAGAAACACACAAAAACATCAACTTGTGGCGTCTATACTGACACTTGGAGACATTTAAAGAACATTTTTTTGCACGTTTGAATGCAGACTTGCATGCTGACATACACATTGTGCAGTATATCCATAGATAACATGCACACAAAATAGCCTGTCATACTGTCTGAATGAACAGTTAAATGTGTTTACACCAACATATAACATATGTATATACAGTAGGGCCCAAAAGTGTTTCCTATTCACTGGTCTCATACTGCTGGACCGCACTGTATATGCTGACAAACACACACATTTTTACCAAGCAAAGATATGACTATGATTGCATGAACACATACATATATCTACAACATTGACACACACATTTTTTTCTCAAACTTGGCATCATTAATACTTCACTGGTGGACCCCTGATTTAATACACTACCAGACCAGTACCACTGTTTACTGCTTGTTATTAAGGCTTTGAATGATCTCTGCTATTCATCCCATGCTAGGAAACAGTAGGGCAACACATACTGGGATAAATAATTCATTTCTGTTCAAAATGAGATAATCAGCATAAAGGAAAAGGAAACAAGTAGTGGTAAGACAAAAAACACAAGATGAAATATTAAAGCTAGTATCTCCTTCATTCTAAAAGTCATCTCTTTATAAGATTTATCTCCTTTAATATGTTTCTGTTTTGGTTCAACGCTTCTGCTCCTGTAAGCTTAAATCTTTGTTGTTCTTATCTTCCAAACAGACTGCATAACAAAAACTTCATATCTGTTTGGAGGTTTATCTCCATGAAAAAATACCTTTTCTTTAACAAAAGAACTACAGCATTTTGGACAGAAATGTTTCAAATAGTGTTGGACGATCAAGTAAATAGAAGAAAACACTCAGGCTAAAGCTGTCACATACTGCAGGAGCGGCAAAACGTGTCTTTTAATGGCTAATAATGTGTTTCAAACATGTGCAGCTTTCATAATTAATGGCAGTGGCAGCTTGGGAGCATGTTAAGAGGAGGGCTGACAAATCCATAGAACCAGTTATTTACTATGACAGGGATAACTGGGAAGAGCCAGAGAGAGATTAATTCCAACACATCCTGGATATTTCCCACGTCAGCTGTGTGACTGGTCTATATGTCTACGACCACCCCGGAGAACAGCAGTAAAAAAGGTTTTCATCTACTTACCACAAGGGCTGATTACTGTCCAAAATCAGCACCAACATAGAGTTTAATGAAGGAAACGGTCCCTTCTGATGCTTACCTGCTGTTAAAACAGACTAATTACTCACTGTTTCTATGTTGGCTGTTTACCACACTGCGACAAACACTAATTGCCATCGATAACAGCTGTCTTAATATTGCCAAAGTTTAACACTATTTTACAAATACTACTTAATAACTTTCCACTACATCACTATAAACCACATGGACTGACACTTGACCAACCTATTAGTGCACAAGACATCATTACCGTCATTAGTTTTGGCTGCTGTTGATTAATCTGGCTTCACATCAACAGGACCACTCCTCACCCTTTACACTTTTATAAAAACATGAGAGAGGTAAAGATATTGTGTTTCACAGGGTCGATGTTGAAGGGTGTGGTAGGTGTGGATATGTGAACTATTTTAGGATCTGACTCCAAGCTGAGTGAGGAAAAAGGCCCCGAGTTTAGAAAAATGTGTAAATTAGCTTAATCAAGTGTCGCTGTCTTCTGAAGCGATGTGCAGCTAAGCACAGAGCTGTGAAGAGAACGGGATGAGATGAACAGCTGTGCCTTTTTGTCCAAAGCATGAAAAACAATGATTGCCTTCATAACCACATAAATGTTACTGTGAATACACAGTGAATATACACTACAATATACACTGAATATACACTACATTTCATTAAAGATCTAATTCATCCCTGTAAAACACGATGAGGTGAACCTTGATAAAAAACATATAAGCATTATTGTTTTCTCCTGTATGTATATTTACGATAAAGGAAACAAGGCAAATAAAAATGCACAAATAGACTGATTTCTTTTGCTAATTATGGCTCCATCCAGTGGTCAGGTCTGAAGCCATTCATTATAAAAGAGGAGCTGGTCCAACACAACAAAAGCTTCAGTCCTAAACATTATCTACTTCTAAGTTTAGTTTCTTCCATGTGATTTTACGATTTCTGTTCAGTGCTGAATGTAAAAACAAACAAACAAATAAATAAATAACTTGTGCTGTCTGAGGTCAGAATCAGAATAGAGAGAAGTGAGATGGCAGAGAGAGCGTGACTTAGTCAAAAAATAAGCATAAAATGGGACTGCAGCTGAAATAACATATGAAAAATTGTTTTAAAAACAGTTAAATCAGACATGAATAATAACCAACACTGGGGCATCAACTAATGATTGTTTATATTATCAATTAATGTATTATTTAGTTAACAAAATGACAGAAAGTTGTCCATGACAAGCTCAGGTGTCGCCTAAAATGCCTTATTTTGTTTGACCAACAGTCAAAACACAAAACCAAAATACAAAGATATTAAATTTACAGTGACAAAAAACAGTAAAAGTAAGAATCCAAATTTGAGAAGTTGAACATTTATATTTGTTAAATGACTTAATAATCAATTATCAAAGCTGCTGCAGACGGATTTCTGTTGATCGATTAATTGAATAATGTGTTCACTGTTGCAGTTGAACTTGTGTTGGTGAATAGCAGCTTTGGTATTCAGGTAGTTAAGTTGCTATCAGACATAAACCTCCTCACACAGCATCTAATTCTGAACAAACAGCTCTCTGGATGCAAAGCTGCTGCAGCCTGCACAAAGCAGTCCTCACAATCTCTATTCTATAAGCGTTATCTCCATAACACACATGAACATTATGTTTGAGTGCAGTCAGCTATGTGCTGCATTCCAAGTAGCCATCACTATGTGCCTTTCATACTGTATTAGCCTGATACACAGGATTAAAACTCAGGGCCAGGGAAAGAAGAGAAGCTTCATTTCTGATAGAAAACCTTGTTAGAGAAGCTGACTGCTGAGTAGAATCTAGCCAATATGCTTCTGTAGAGCAGCTGGGGATTTCAGTTTTCCTCTCCCTTAAATATTACTGCAGAGAGATGCCCTCAAACGAGCCAAATCAGTTCCAAACTGCTCCAGAAAAGCTGCCCAGTGACCAGCAGTGGAAGATCTGAATTTAGTAGGCAGCCCTCCAGTTTGAGCATGTGCAGCTGTATCACTGACAAGCAACACCGTGATGAGAATGAGCATGCACTCTCAGCAAACCTTCCTTGGATGAGTTTCGAAAAAAACAAAACAAAAACAAAACCCAGGACTTATGAGGAACCAACATAGCTGCTTTGCCTTGGAGAATGGGACATGATGTGCAGTGCCAAGCTGTATATTAACAGACACAATGGAGATGAAGAGAGACTGGTGAATAAATGTGGAGGCCGGTTCAGGACAGTGATAACATTAATGAAGCCCTGGCAGGCCGGTGGGAGCGTACCTGCTTCTTCTGCAGTAGGGGCATGTGCGTGCCCTGCAGGGGGGGAGGAAGGCAAGGGGAGAATCAGACAGATTCAGAGAGGGTGAGGTGGGTAGGAGGAGAGGCAGCGCCCATCAGAAGGGGTGGGGGACAAACGCCTTGTAGCTGTACTGCACCGCTTTTTAAATCCAATATTACATACTTTTTAAAAAGTATAACTGCTTGACATTTTGGTTAATGTGTATTCAAAGTAAAAACTATTGTTAATAAAAGCTAAAAGCTAAAGCTAGCTACAGAGTATTGGGACTGGTAACAACCAGTACTTTTGTTTTCTAGATCTTCTGTATTAACTCCTTACTTTTAAAGACCTTGAAATATTATCAGATTAATTCACAGATTTCCCAGAAATGTACAGCAAAATCCTGAAGCCTGAACTAACAACAGTGCTTTCCTTTCATCTAGACAGCAACATAATCCTGGTTAGAGCTACATCACTAATAAGCCGAACCTGGACTGTTGGGATACAGGAAGTCATGGACAGAAACCAGAGTCAGAGTGGCTGGAGGGTTTATGTTTATCATACATGGAAGAAAAAAAAATATAAACTCATATACCAAACAGAAGTGAGTCAAAAAAGCATCTATTTGTGTGTGTGTATCTATACATATGATAATCTTCATTCACATGATGCATATATTGTACATGTCTAGATTTTGTCTTTGCTTGTGAGTATGCTTTGTATCATGATAATGGCAGTCATTATTTCAGCTAGCATTTTGGCTAACCCTAACTCCAGACCAGAATTGACAAAAGAATTGCTCACATTGCATTGGGAAAAAAGTTATATATATATGCACATGTACAAAGAAATGGTAATACCAATTAATGTCCCCACTCGCACTCTCAAATTGATTTGCAGTTTCATAGGTCAAAGTTGAGCCACACTGAGGTAAACAACGTGAGATTCATCACTTGAATCTGGAATTCTGGTGTGGCCACAACTGTACAATTCTCTACTTGCCAAACACAGATGCTGCTGCATCTGGGAGCGTTTTAATAAACACAGGGAACCTGCATGTGGAGTGTGATTGTATTTAAAAGTTTTGTACAAATGATCAAATGGAATAAAATTATTTTGTTTCCGAACAAAGATGATAAACTGCTTTAAGTCCTTTCCTAAAACATACTTTTATCTGAGAGCTTTTCCTGGTTTTACCTTCCCTTGAAGTGTTTCATTTCTCTTAAAATGACCCTGTACTGGGTCTTATGCTCCTGACTGTTTTAATTGTTTTATCTGTTCTCTTTGCTTTGAAATGTATTGATTTCATTGATTCTATTCTATCCATGTCTTTTTTTAAAAGGTGCTCTATAAATAAAGATTATTATCGTTATTCTTCTCATTATCATTATAAACTATCAGGATTTTGACAATGAGCAAGACAGTTGCTGTAATTGTGCAGCCAGCACATCTGCAGGCTTGTACAGATGTGCATTTATACCTGTAGCTTGTGTGCAGCCGTGTGATTGAATCTTATATAGGAGAACCCAAAGGTTTATTTTAAGTCTCTATATAAAACTGTGGACATAATTGTACGGTATGCGCCCATGTGGCTGAGTATGTGTGTTTGCGTGTGTTTAGGCACTGACCTGAAACCACAGCATGGCAGGGTGAGGAGGCGGAGCAGAGCCAGCAGCACCCTGAGGGGCAGCAGGGTGAAGACGTACAAGAAGGCATCCACACACAGGAAGAAGCCAAAGATCATCAGCTGGAAAAGTCACACAGCAACACCTCTGAGTCAAACGTGTGAACAACAGGCAGTAAGCAAAACCTCCAAGTTAAACAATGATCATAAGTTGGAAAGATACAGTATAGCCTGCGGACACATTTACTCATCATCTGGAGAGAGTATTTATCTGTGTCAAACAAGGACAAGACCTATAAATACAATAAGACGATGAAAAAAGGATGCGTGAACATCAGATGGAGAGATTCACAACAGTTTCTTCTATAATTTCTTTCTGAAAAAGTAACGTCTCTTATTTTCTTCACACACCTTCTGTCTCTTTTCCATCAAAGGAAAGAACTAAAAACCAGACCTAAAGCCAATTACGTAGCACACATACCTTCACAGTCTCCCATAAACGAAGAGTCATTGCCTTGTCATTTTTTTTTTTTTTTTTAAAAAAGGAATATTTTACAAGAAATAAATTTAAGCCATCTGAGGTTTTCTTTCTCCTACTTCTGACTGGAAAAATATGAAAGCACTGAGGTGAGTTTTGGTGGAAGCTGGTGGGAGGGTTTGTCTCTCATTGGTGGATTATTCTGAGTGACTTTTCTTGGGGCCTTGTCAGGTACCCATGAAGTTGGTTAGTCTGCTTAACATAGTAAAGTCACTGAGGTCTTTTATGTTTACACACATTCCTCTCCTGCCCCCAAGGAAAAGCCAAACCAGTAGGAGCTGTGTTGGTATGGGCTCGCTTGTTAAGACTTATTTCTTCTCAGAGAAGGTCCAGTCAACTCTGAAAATAATGTACAAAGACCTTTACACAACATGCAAATACACAGGATAGCCTCAATACCCTGATTGTATATTTTTAATGCATAATTATGCTTTAATAAGTTTGGCTTCATTTACTTTGCAGCTTCTCAAATGTGAATATTTTCTGTGTTGTGCATAATAGAAAACTAAATATATTCTGATTTGTCACTGTTGGTCAGAAAAGACATGTAAAGATATCGTCTTGGGCTGTGAGGAACTAAAATAGGCATTTTTCACTATTTTCTGATGGTTTATAAAAAAACCCACATAATTGATTAATAGAGAAAATAATTGGCAGATTGATTGATAATGAATTAATTGTTAGTTTCAGCTCTAAACAGGTGTTTCTATTATTTTGTCCATTTTGTTGAGTTGAACATTTTAACTTTTATGAAGGTAAAATTTATTGCAAGACTGTTTTCTTAGGATGCTTTTGTTTTAGTTAGGGGTATCAAATAAACTTGCAGCTAGTGTATACAGGTTATTGACAGGTAACACTGAGAAATGTTCCTAGAAAGAGTTCACAGGTCAGATCCATCCACATCTTATGAGCCAACACTGCCACCTGTTGACTCATGGGAAGAACAACAAAAATATACTGGTGTCAAGTGAATCAGGGCAAAATAAAATGTTGTTTTTACATAGTACTGTTATATATAGTTCAATCATAAGTACATTTTCGCTGTGTGTGTCATTGCAACAGTGTTTGTGTGTGTGTAGTTGAGATTGCAACTAATCATTTTCTTAGTGATTCATCTTTCCATTATTCTTTTTAAAAAATAATCACTTGGTCGATACAGTATAATGTCAAGAACAAGGACAAATACATTGTTTAGTCTTAAGTTGTGTTTTAAAATTACAAGCTTAATGTGACTAAATGTTCATAATCAAATATTCCATTTGTTACAATCATGTAAATCTTAACACTGAACAACTTTTTAATGGATTGTTGGATTCACTTGTCATCTCTATGCTTACACACTGTTTTCTTGACATACACACACACTATCACAGTTTTACCTGTTCTGTTGCTTTTATCCTGATTCTGTTGTAATTCAAAACCCTAACCAGGGACAGAGGCTGTAAATTACCTTCAGCTACTGTAGATGTATACATTACATCTGTTAGATTATTTTTCTGTATTCTAACAATGTTTATCTGTATGGTCCCTATTAAATAAACAATAAATAAATAAATGAAGAAAACAAGGAACTCTTCACTTATAAAACTTTAACCTGCAGAAGCTTTGGGATTTTTACATGTGAAACGGAAGGAAGGACTGAATTAACTAATCAGGTTCTTACATCATACATCCTACAGTGAGACTCTAAAGCTGTCAACTGACTCTGAAACAGTTGTAAGCTGATTCTTGTGGTCTGTAAACACCTTCTGTGTGCTGCTGGGAATGACAGCTGACAGATGGAGATAGCTGAAGAGAAAAGGGGTCAGCTGAGGTTGATACACTACCTTCTCCAGTTCCTTGGGAATACGCATGCATGTGTAAACTCTCTCTCTGCGCTCCGTGTACTTTGCCTCATTGTGTTCCAGGAAGTATCCTCTGGTGAGCTCTGCGCAAATGAAACGCGCCAACGACGGATCTGGAACAACATGAGAGCAGCGGTGTTACCACAAGGCCATTGTCTGCAACAATTACAACGACAGCTATCATCACAATGAGAGCGCCAACCTTTGGAGAGTCATACTGCAAAATGAAAACAGGAGGAAACTTCTCTGAATGATAAAAACTGGGGGTTTAACTGTATTTTTACATCTTGTAAAAGCTGACCATGCTAAATCAAGTTCTTTGTCAAACACAGTAGTTTTTTTCATGGCTAACTAGACCCTTTGTAATGAGGAGAGGTGACAAAGACAGTGATTTTAACTCTGGCATGGCATGGAAAATAATATTGAATTCTGTTATTCTGTTGACACTGTGTGAATTCACTTCAAAGGAAACAATGATTAAGAGAGGAGAACAGAGCTACAAAGTAAATAATTAATAAATAAATTAACAGAAATTTGATCTAAAATAACTTTCACAATAATTGTAGATTGTAGTAACAGAATTTGTATTTTGGACTGTTGGTTGGACAAAAGAAGCTTTTTTAAGACGTCATCTTGGGCTCTGTTTTTGAACATTTTGTAAATAAAACAGTTAAACAATTAGTTGAGGAAATAATCGGCAGAACAACCTGCAGTAAAGATAAAGAGAGTAAAATAGAGTAAAGAAATAGAGGGATTTGTAGCCGAGTAGCTGATTTTGTTGAATTGTCTCAGTCTGAGTGCCCCCATACTGTCTTCGCATTCTTTCCACTTGACTTCAACCCGTGAGAACTTGACAGATATGTCATGCTTCATAAGCTGAAGACAAAGATGAGCTCACTGTACATTAAACATCTCCTGACCTGGCGGTATAATGTTGGCTCAACTCGCAACAGTTTTGCTGTTAAAGTCACATGGAGAGCTGGAACACGCTGGGGTTCAATGGGCTCAGAGCAAAAAATATCCCATAGGTCCAAGTAAATTTAGCGTTTTCAGTTCAATTGTACATTTGACCGCCTGTGCAAATTTGCATCTTATCTTGGCAAGTGTGTTTAATATTTGTACTTTATACTGTCCAATATTTAATAAGTAGTGTTTGCCTAATGTGAGATGTCCCCTTTTATTGGTCTTGATTAGATGAATTCACAATGTGCACAGGGTCAAATAAGAATCATTGGAATCTGCAGGTCACATAAACTATACAACAGGTGACCCAGTTAGAAAACTCAGCTCTATTTCTACTGCAGACCGTTTTATCAGACTTTATCATATGCTTTTCTTTATTGTTGTTACCACACATGGTGCCTCCACAGTCTTTAGACATGGTTGTAAAGTTTGATAGCTGAGATTTCAGTGCACTGTAATCTGTGACCAATCCGATTCTGTGACGTTAGAGGATTACATGACAAGAACGGATCAACCAGATATCAACAGGTGAGAAGTATGGCTGCAACTACCTACTGTTTTCATTATTGATTAATCTGCAGATGATTTTTCAATTAATCATTTTGTCTACATGACCATTGTAATATTCCAGGACCCAGGGTGGCAGATTTAAATGTCCATGTTTGGCATTTTGTTTGAAAAATTAAAGCAATAAATAATAAATTATAAAAACAGATTCCAATTAATTTTCTATCAACTGATTAATTATTAAATAAATTGTTTCAGATTTAAACTTAAGGTTTCTGCTGTCATAACTATCAAAACTGGTGACACTCGTTATCTATAGGGATGTTTTTTTTCCTTCACAACTATGAAAACTTGTGATTTGTGATTCAATTATTTGTTTTACAAGCTAAAGGTGGAACATTTGAATGTCTTATTTTAACCCAACTAACAACGGCAGAATCCAGACATATGTAGTTCATCATCATATATGATGATGAAGCCTCACAGTGGAGATGCTGGAGTGCTTGGTAAATGTTTTGCCATTAATGCCATTTGTGCTTTTGCTGTTTCTGTAGGGGTTCATTAAGGTAAATCAAAAACTTTTGAAGGCAATTTTGTAGCACACGGACTTAAATTTAATTCCAAAAGTTTCTTACTTCTTAGCAAGTGCATAGATTTATTGATCTGTCAGTACTTCCCAGCTGTATATATCAATTATGCCTAATAATAAACTCAATTAACCATTAAACAAAACCCTAAACCTGGAACGCAGCAGAAAATGGATGGATAAATGTAAAACTCTAGATAATTTTAGAACTCTTTCATATCTTTAACTGTCTTTTTTGAGGGTTAGGGTTACTACTACAGTTTCTGCTATCATATATATGTATATAATATATCCGACCCTCTCTGTATCTATGGGGTCAGTTTTTTTTCCTTTACAGCTATCAAAACGTATAGCTTTGTCTAAACACTATAGGGGCACCAATTTTGGTTATAGTTAGTTAGTGACTATGCCATGCACCTACAAATGCCCAGCCCTCCTGCACTAAAACAACAACAACAAAACAAGCCTCTTAAAATGATTCATCCACAAGAACCCATCAGAAATTAAGGATGTTTTACTAGTGTAGCCCTTAGGTCTCACCTAGATCACGTAACAGACATAGTCGTTTCTCTTTCTATAGCTAATGGTGATGTACCTTAACTTGTGCAGTAGTAATATAGTTTATCTGAAATTTTATGTAACATCTGAAAAGTATGATTTTATAGACACCCTGAGGTGAAATGTGTAGTTAAATACTGTAACAGACATGTAGATTACAGATTGCAAAGTTTGCTGCTCAATGTTTTTAAGGCAGCAAACTTTAGACATTACTACTAAAGTAGCTACCGTAGATAGTGAGACGGAAGACCCAGAGCTAGTTTAAAAGAACTACTCTTTAGTGTCAGTCACATACTTGTTTTTACAGGCAGGTTTAGTGAGAAAGAGACAGATCATGATTAGTTAATCAAGCTAGCACTGACTGTAAACAACAGGCGGTGACAGCTCTCGGCTCTTTACAGTAAACTCTGAAGGTTTTCTAACTTTTTTAGCTTAAATGTTAGGGTTATCGTTAAACACCGTGTTAATGAAGTCGCTGCAGTATTAATGCTGAAGTACGCGGTGAGAAAACTAAAGTAACACACTAACGGCGTCTATCGTTTGGCAGCTGTAACAGTGGGAACGTCAGTAGTGGCGGAGGGGACCCAACGGTTACCTGCTGAGAGCTCCCGTTGCTCCCTCCTGACAGCGCTTATGTCGTAAACTCCCAACGTTTCCGGTAGTCCCGGATTTAAACCGATTTTGCCCGACTTGTGCAAATCCTCCCACGGTCGTTTCTGTCTTTTCTTGAGCTCAATTTCTGCTTCTTTCTCTTCTGACAGCTCGGTCCCCGACAAGTCCGCCATCTTTAATTTGGCCGCCGCGTCGCCCCGTGCAACGTCATCGCAGTGTAGGTAAAAAAATAAACGACGTCATAACGATAACCGTTACCAGGTAGATTCAACGATTTATTAAAAATAAATAAGAAAAGATTCAATGGTTGATTAAAAGTACACGAATAAAGATTAAACCGTTTATTAAAAATTAATACATAGTCAATAGTTTATTAAAAGTGAAGATTCAATAGTTCATTAAAAATATATAAAGATTCAATAGTCTATTAAAATAAGATAAATACAGGTCAAAGAAATAATACTATAAAAGTAAAGTAATAGAAACTAGAAGTAAAATTTAAAGGAAAGTTTGTCAGGATTTTGAGTAAAAAATTTTAAATAAATAGTCAAAATGTTGACATAAAATGTCAAAATTATGTGATACACATTCAATACAATTACATTTCTTATAAATTTCATAATTTTGACTTAGTAAGTCAAACTTGTTTTGGTACAATTGCTTCTGTGAGTTTTTTTTTTAAAATAACTTCTGTGCTTTAATCAGAAGTCATATGCATTATTTTGAGAACAACAATTTAGTTCTTTTACTTTTTTCTGGCTAAATTTCAAGTTGGTAAAGACACATTTAGTTAGGTAACAAGCCTCATTTCATGGTATTTTCAAAAACATCAGGCGATATTGATTAGATACATTTTCCTATGGATACTATTTAGAGACTTGTTTTTGTTTAAACTATTTTTGTGAAAGGTAAATCTACCCAAACCTAAAACTGAACTTTTCATCTGCACACCTTATGAGGTATACTTTGCCTACACTTGTTATACGGCACAAGGATCTTATTTCACCAACTCTAAGGTGGGCAATGACCTTATTTTCAATGTACAAATGTTATCAATAATAATAATAACAACATAGACAAAGAAAATCCCACATGCATGTGGATAGAATGGACAAATTCCCCTATGTAATTTTTCACAAGACTTGATAGAATATTAGAGTAATGATAATTTAAAAACACATGATATATTCATTTGAATATACAGTATGTATGATAATAATATAATGTGCATATATTTCTAATTATGTTGTGGTTTATTTTTTATATACTGTTTGCCCCTAGTATCACATTTTTTGTGGTACATATGTTGTACTATTTACTGACATCAATAAAAATGTAAAAACAGCAACAGTAGAAATAATAATAACGATAATTATTATGATAACAACAATAATAATGTTGTTTTTTTTAAATTAATGAATTTGGCTTTGCAGTGACACTGAATTGGTCATAAAAGCCTTTTGTTATTGTATTTTAGTGTCTTATGTCTTATGATGTCCTGGAGGAAAGAGAGAGAGGAATAACATGTAAGAAGAATGACAGAATAATTGAATGTTGTTGCAGTACCATGTCCTCCACTTGGTGTCGCCAAAGTTCCATCAAATTGTCTTGGATTTAAAGTCTACCCAACAACAGCACTGAGGCCCATTTCTACTGACTTATCTGGAGAACTTTGCTGAGGAGGACACAGAGTCCATACATATGTTCATGTCCCAGGTTTTAACTGGTTTCTCATCTAACTTGCTGGTTGAAACAGGCCCCGACATGTGAAGGGATGAACACAGAGAAGATGTATTAAATTAAGTCTAGATCTTATATAATATTTTACATCAAGCCTCAAAATTTTAATTTTAGGCATTGTTATCCAACACTGACATTTAGCTGCTCATCCAGCTGGTAAACAGTGTCAGCTACCTGCAAGTTATATGGGCAACACATTAAAGGTTAAATCCACAGAGATGCTATCAGATATCAGAATACGATCAGTACGATCCTTAACATGTGTAGTCATGTAGTGACCTTCATGTAGTGATTTCCCAGCATGCTTTCAATAACTTCCAAGGTGTAGAGAGGAAGGAACATGAACGTGTAGTTTAGTTGGTTTAATCAAAAGTGAATGTAGGTGCATATAAATGAACCCAGTGAGTCAATTAGTATTTGAATATTCTGAACGTGGCATGATTGTGGCCTCGTATTCAAAACACACGCACACGCAGTCTTGAGACTGCATTGCATTCTGGTCTATTGAGGGTTCTTTCAGTGTAAAAACTTCTGTCTTATTTCTGCCTCTTGTGCAACGAATGTCTTTAGGTATGATCAATAAATGGCAGCAGAAAATGACAGCTGCGGAAAAGAAGCTTTTGCTTTATTACTCTGAGCAACTGACGCCAAAATCTGAGGCTTAGATTTGATCACTGAATCATTTTTCTATTAAACTTCATCACAGACGCGGGAAATATTTGGACATAATTTCCAATAATTTGGTTTCAACAGATAGCAACAAGAAAATATAGAGCACAAAACAACACTTTCAGTCCAGGTATGCAGTTTGCTCGTGTAAGATTTCTTTTAAATTGAAGCTGTGAATGAAACTGTGTCTTTCTGGAGATCCACCAACCACTAGATCTCAATGACATCTGCTCAAGATCCCACAGAGATCAGATCAACTGACCATTCTAGCAAAATTGTATTTTCCAATTGACAAAAATATCTCATCACAAGTCCACTTTCTAGCTGTTTCTGGAGTTTTCAGTCATATACAATTATCTTCCACAGGAGATGCAGACATCCAGTTGTCATGGAGATGTAGATTGTATATTTTTCTGAACACATCAAGGACTTTTCGCTCGTGGTGGACGATGACAATTTTCATGACAACAGGGCAACTCCGTCTGTTGAGGAAGGTCGTGTGATCCGACCGAAAGCTATCACGTCGTATAGACCTTGTGGTGAGATTGTTTTTGTCAACTTCTGTTTCCAAGGTTACAAATGAACTTTCCACTGAGTTATCAAACTATTCAGAGTGAACAGATATTAGTAAATATTAAAAACAGACGGAAAAAGAGCCGGTCACATGCACACACGATGCATGTAACCAAACCAAATGTAACTCCTTTGTAAGCACGGTTTATTGGCACACATAATGGTAAAGCATACATACCAGACATCAGATATGACACTGAACACCTCTGCTATATAATGTACAAATGGTGTCTAATAATACTAGGCTCAAACATATTTAGAAATGTGTTAGCTTCCTTACAAATGCACAAATAAATACCCATAAGATCCAATTGTATAAAGACATCCGTCGTTGTCTTCTTGCCCATTTTCAAACAAAAGTCCAACAAAAGAGATCAGGGATATAGTATCAATTCAATTAAAGATTAAAGAACAATTGTGAACACAAATACAGGGATCTCAAACCATTTCTGTGGGGTGGATGGGATTTTATCTGTGCGTCGTTTTTGAAATGTAAAATTGGTTTCTTCTTATGTCACAGAATATACAAGAAATATGATTGCGTGACTGTGTGGCTGTTTATTAAATTTGTGGCTTTGGTTCTGCACTAGCTAAAGAGGATGGGGAACACTTAGAGTTTGGTTTTGACTGAGGCAAACCAGCGTCCATCCAAACCACCCTACAGAAATATGAACCTCCTGTACAAAACAAAACAGCTGCCATATCCAAACTGGTTTCAGTGGCTGATTTACAGTGGACAAAATAGATTCCACCTCTATTTACAGAGCTACAAACCTTGTAACAGTGTTCCCAAACTGATGAACCAAAAAGGAAAATCAGACTGATGCGTTTTTAAAAAGTACATGTATCAAACAAAATAAAAATCCTATAAAATCATGCAGGAAAAGGCTTTAGTATCAGTTTGGGAGTAGGTCGTTAAAGGGAAAGAAGTCCAATTTTCAAGGAGGGGGAAAAATAAAAAATCAACATTAATGCATCAACGGGAGTCGGCAAAGTTCACATACTGATCGGCAAAATTACAATGTGATTGCAAAGGATTCTGAGAGAAGCAAAATACCAATAGACTACGAACACAATCAAACTGGTTTGCATGAAATCACAATCTGTGACGACCGCAGTAATGTGGAAAAAACAATCCTAGGACCCGATCTTCCCTCATTTGAAAGGAGTCCATAGTGGTAGAGAACTTTTATTTCCTCTTAATTGGAAATGGAAATAAACAGCAACAGCAGAAACAAACCCAACAGCCGACTGAATTTTCAATTGAAAATGCAATTGCCTCAAACAATGTTTCATTTGTTTCCAATGTGGTTAGACGCTTCCATTGGCTCTGTTGGCTGTTAAAAAAACACCTTGCCTTCTTCACACTGAGCTTGCTATTTTTTTTTTGAGACATTTTGTTTGTTGTTTTTATTCTTCTTCTTTTCTTTCCATTGTCTATTGCCAGCGTGATGACTTGTGACCCGCAGGTCAACCAATCACAGCTGTGGTATTCCACCAGACAAGAGGTTTGTGACTGAAGGTCCAAGGAGGAGAATTTGATCCGGAATTTTCCATCGCATTCTTGAAAAAAAATAAAATAAAAATGCCTACGCCTTTCTGTTTTTTACATTTCGGTCGCATACGACTTGTATGCGTTTCTTGTCTGCGGATACTGCTGTGCAATGCTGCCAGTTCTCAGTGTTCTCCAAGATGTTACAGTGATTCATAGAAGAAGAAAATATCCAGGACGGATATATTTTGGCTGGACATGCCAGCAATGAGTTTGCAGACGGGGGTTCTGATTCAGTACAATGTTATGAGGCGTAGAAGCACTGCCCTCGGGGGAAGGGGAGAGGTTAAAAAGTCCGGTCCACATGGAGTCAAGGATCTGTTGTTTTCCTCTTCTTTTGTTTTACTGTGAGGGCTGGGGAGCTGTGCTCTCAGGCTTGCTGTCCTGGGCGGCGGGGGGTTTGCTGCTCCACGGGGCGTTGTTGCCCAGAGCTGGGGAGCTGTTGAAGTCGTCCTCGTCGTCCAGGCCGTTGGTGGCGTCGTACTGCGTATTCTCCAGACGAGTGATCAGACGCTCATCCTCGTCCCCGAACTCGCCGCCCATCAGGGTCGGCTCGCCCACCACCATCACGTCCTGGAGAGAGGCAGAGACACGGAGAACAGATTTACAAACTGAAAAGGAAAATAAAACTAATGTTCT